ATATTATGACTTCCAGTTTACTATTTTTATGTGATTCCTAAGTGTGCAAACAGGCGGGTTTCTGTGTCTGTGTCTGTTTCTTGCATCTTTTCTTGCGTTCTTTTCCTTCTATTTTCTGTTTTGTCCTATTCTGATGTGATAGTTTTTGTTTTATCTTATATTTTTTTTCTAATGAGACACAGAAAGGGCACAGTGGATCAGATGGGAGGGGAGGTGGGGAGGAACTGGGAGGAGTAGAAGGAGGGGAAATCAGAAACAGAATCTATTATGTGAGAAAAAAATCTATTTTTAATAAAAAAAAAGGGAGGGTGGGGGGGAGAACCCAGCCTTATGGCTTTAGATCCTGTGACTGGAAGCTTAGTGCTCTGGGCTTCAGTACCAGAGGCGCCAGCACTTCATGCCTATGGAATCCTTAGCTTCCAGCATCAGTGAGCAGCAGTGGGAGGCAGCAGCAGGCTGCAGTGGGAGCAGGAGGTGGCAGCAGGCTGCAGCTGCCCTTCTTGGGGATAAGGAAGGGAAGTTCTTCCCTTCTGCCTTGAGTGAAAGTGATTGCTAGATTTTTTCCAAGGCTTGTGATGACAAAAATCTAAAATCTAGCTTAAGAGTCTTTAAAGAATTGGAGCTGGAATAAGCAGCAGGAGTGGTAGCATGCCTTCCTCAAAGCATCTGTAGTATGTTCAGAACAGCTGAGCTGCCATGAGGGAAGTCTGACCCGCTGCCATTGAGTGGCAGCTGGGCCGATTGTCCTCCACTCAAGGAAGCCAGGATCCAGGAAAGGGTCTAACAGCTCTCTACTGGGGTTTAAATTTCCCCAGCATCCATCTTGCTTATTTAAAGCAAAAATAAACATGAAAAAGTTTGTTTATTTCATATATACAAAGAACACTAAATAATAATAACAGCTGAACAATTGTATAATGGAAGATACCAAAACTGCAAAACTTCCAACTAGTTCACAAGAATGTGGATGACAACCCTGAATAGCAACATTAGCTCTAAGAAAGAAAAACAAAGCAGGATATGTCACACTTCCAAGTACGTTACAAAGCAACAGTAACAGTTTTTAAGAGCTATAAAGAGCACTTAGGCCCCTGGGGTGGGAGAGAGAGGCCAGGAACAAATCTCAGTACATAGTCAACCACTGTTTCCTAAGGACACCAGGAGGACACAAAGAATAAAGGACAGTCTCTCACATAAGTAGTGCTGGAAGAAATGTGTTTCCATGAGCAAAGGATAAGATTGCAACTGTTAAACACCCTTCACAAAACTGCTCAACAATGATATCAGATACCGCCACTTGGACCATCATGGAGGCAACTGAGCGGCACTGTAAGAGAAATAAACCAGAACTGGAGAAAAAAATGTATAACCTCACCAGTACACACAACATCAAAGAAAAATAACATAATAAAATAATCATTCAGAGAATAAAATACGGCTGCTGGGAGTGTAGTTCAGGTGACAATGTGAGGTTACAGGTCACAGGATACAAGCACAAGATATGTGGGACTGAAAAAAGTGTCTAGAGGCCTAACAGTATTTAAAAAGAAATAGGTATAAGATTGTACTCTTTGGAGAAATTGTACTAAAGGAACAGGAATGGGGGGGGGGGCAGGAGGGAGCAAATGGATGCAAACCACTGTTAATTGCCCAATCATAATCCTGTCAAGAATTAATTTTACTCTCATGTGCTTGTTTCAGAAAGAGCAACAGCTACAGAGTTTACCTAACCAGAAAACTGGTTGTCAGTAGCTAGCTATACTCCAACACTGTTCAATCACCTTTACATGTCACCTCGTTTGAGACAGCAGTTCTTCATCAGGGGTGATTTCTTTCCCCTCGGTGGAATATGGTGATGTTGCAGACTTCTGAGACTGATGTGGTTGACATCTCATTTGTGTGGGTGAAGAATGTCCATGTTTAACCTGTGCTGTGTAGCAGACTGTATCACCACCATGACACACACAAGAGTGATGTAGGTTTGAATATCAGCTGTGCTGATAAACACTTCTGTAAGAGATAGGCTTCGACGCCTCTCATCCGAGCTAACCCCTTGCTGTAAGAGCCTCCCAGGCACTGTACCTTCACATACAGACTGTGATGTCCAGCTTAATTTCTGATGTGATTATTTACCTGCACCACCATTCTCGGGCTTCCCGAGAGCATTGCTGTTTCCAGCATATCTGCAATTATAATCCTAGGACGCAGAAGAAGGACTGCCATGTGAAACCAGCAAAAGAGACCCCAAGTCTGAAGGCAGCAACAGCTTTCAGAGGTTCAGAGAAAAGCAGGTTCAACCATATTTAGAAAGAGATGTGGAGGTGCCTTCTTTTCTTTTTTTTTTTTTTCTGGTTTTTCGAGACAGGGTTTCTCTCTGTAGCTTTGTGCCTTTCCTGGATCTCTCTCTGTAGACCAGCCTGGCCTCGAACTCACAAAGGTCCGCCTGGCTCTGCCTCCTGAGTGCTGGGATTAAAAGCGTGTGCCTTCTTTCTTATGGATGAGAACAAGAGGATGGTGGTCGAGAAGGGAGGTACTACACCATATATCCTCTAGGGGGCGTTCCCATCACTACTATGTTATGCTCGTTTCCTTCCTCCTGTCTAATCAAAACCTCGATGCTTGCCTGCCCCCGTGTGAGCCTTTATGTTTTTATTACTTCTATTTTTGAGGTTTCAATCATTTCCCCCTTCCCTTTTCTCCCTCCAGACCCTCCCATAAACTCGAGCTCTTTCATCTCTTTTTCATTAATTGTTGTTGCATACGTATATGTATATTTCCATGCATATATATTTCTAAATATAACCTGCTTGGGCTGTACGTTACTTGTATGTCTGTTTTGTATGTTGTGTATCCCTGTGACGACCATTTGGTGTGAACGGCCATCAGAATGTTTTTCTTTTGAGAATTCCTTCTACTTCCTAGTCCCAAGGGCCCTGCTGAGATTGGATGGTCTTCAGAACTAAATATCCAAGATCAGCTGAAGTATCTTAAAGCCTCCATAAAACTGATGTGAAGGAAACCATGTGTTCACCACAGGTGATCTCACCTTGCCTGCATTTGACACATTTCTACTGCTTAGAACTAGTAATTGCATTTATGATGCATCATTAATGCTTCATAGAGTGTTCTCCCACCCTTCCCTGGGCTCCTGGCTTGGATTTGCTCACATCCACTTCTACTGATCACAAAAAGAAGACCTCAGCTTAGCCAATTCCCTTTGAGTCTTTCACCTTTCTAGAATAGTGGCACATTACTCCTCATGTGTACTCGGCATTGGGTTCCTGGTAAATTCCATACAGTGAAGCCAGGAGTGTGAGCCCACCAGCAGGATTCACTCTAGATAAAATGAGTCAGCCAAAGGGCAGAATTGGGCTTCATGTAAATGGCACTAGTGCACTTAGCTGAGAAGGATGAGAAAGTTCTCATGACGGGATCATACACAATAATCACAAGGCTCCTTCCAAACAATGGGAGTCCTCCCCGCACTGAAGGGAGGACTATAAGTAAACTATATGTAGACTTATATAAACTATATGTAAATTTTACCGAATGCTATGGTTCTCCAGTGGAGGTGGAAGCTTCAAAATGACCATTTCCTTAAGAATTTCCCATATCTTATTCCAGCAAAGGAAGAAAATTAGGTCAGGCTGATATAACTGGTCCCTGGTGGCTCCTACGCATCCATTTAATATTTACAGAGGATCCTTCTGTATTTTCATATTTTTTTTTAAAAGTATACTATCCAATGCTTCTAAAACACCAACTAGCCATCTGAAGGCATCTTGGGTGAGAACTGGATGCCTTCATTGTGCATTTTAGATAAAAAACAAAAACAAAAACAGGATGCTTAAAAAATAGGTGTGGTGGCTTATATGCAAGTTTAAATATTTCTCATATAGAAAAGGTGATGGCCTTTCTTTGTTCTTCACAGGGCAGAATGAAGACCAATGCTTGAAATGTAACAAAGATCAAACAGGCAAAAACAAAACAAAAAAAAAAAACCCACACAGAAATTCTAAGAGTAGCAGTCTCAAAGTGCGCATTTCTCTACTGTTAAATTATCTTTTAAAATGCAAACCCTACTCACAGTCTCCTTAAGAACCACAAAGAAACCTGACATCTGCATGTTTGACACTGCTGGTGGTCTTGACTGAGATCGCCAAGAGCCTGTGTTTAACTCCTAGTGTGTGTGGTTGGATATGAGTGTGGATGGGTGTGCATCTGTTCATGGCCTCCATAAATAATTAACTAGTTTGCAGTGCTGGGAATCAACCCAAGACTCCTCACGCAGGGTTTCTACCATCAACCTACACTTTCAGTAGTAAAGTACTTGATATTAGAAATGATAAGAATATTCTTCATATCAATACACTGACTTAATGATTGTCTGCCTGCAGTGGAGCTACCTTTAAAGGAACAAAGACCCAGAATCCTGTGTCTGAAGAAAGGAGGGGTCTGGCAGATTTCATACTAATCACCCTCATTTCTAAAGAATCCATCCTTCAATTTGACTCAATTCTCTTTCTCCTGCTACACCTGAATATATAACTCTCTCCTCAGCCTCTAGAGAACTGAACTCTGAACCGAAGCCGAGTAGGCACTAAATCATCCTGTATTCATTCTGCAGCAGTCTGTGCTTCTACAGACTCAATCTTTCCCTCTTGCCCACACCATCTATAGAGATCACATCTCATTCACTCTATCCCATAGCATTTAACTCCCTGATGAAATATTTAATAATAGCACAATAACACCATATAGTATAAGACCAGAAAATAAAAGGAGTCTAGTCAGCTTAACTAAAATTCAAAGTCTGAATGAAAAACTGACATTTTAAACTCCCGACTCCCCACAGGGAACATTGCCTCCAAATGAGAATCCTCTTCCATCCTCAGCCACTCTAATAAACTGTTCTTCATTTATTTTCATAGCTCTGAACATGGTTGTGATCTGTCTCCTGTTTCTGTTGTCTATAACTTGGTTGCATCTTAGATCTAGGATATCAAAGAAACTCAGTTTATAGAAGGACTATGAATCCAGAGAATCCCACCAAGTCTGTACTCACCACAGTCCTGGGGAGGGGGTGGTTGTGTTTACTTCCCTCAGTCCCACTGGCTTCTAGATAATATGAAACCCATTCCACATCAATGTCATCTAGAAGTGTTTGAGAAAGACATCTTTCTCTTTGGTCCCAACTGTATCTGTGATATGGCAGGCTGGATCACAGCTCTGGTCCTGGAGAAATTATACTTACCTGAGGCCACGACCTTCAGCAGGATCACCTGCTGAGACCCATAACTAAGGGAGGAGGAAGAAACATCCTGTACTGTTCTCTGGCTCCCTCACCATAACCAGCTTGCGATGGACAGGAGCCAGTATATCATCGAACCTGACCTTAAGGCAGACTGTACCACATCCACCCTTGGGACATGACTGGGACCCTTACTAGAAATGGAAACAGGATTGTTTATTCAAGTGTGGCCTTGGAGATCTCTGGGGGGCCCTGAGCCAATTACAATTAATTGACTGGTTCTGCAGGATCTATTTGCTATCCTCAGCTGTTTCTATCCCTCATACACTGCCTAATCCAAAGTGACCCATTCAGGTCCTCAAAACACATATTTTAATATGGCTTGTGCAAAACCATGTTAGTGTATTTCTCATACTTTCCCTACTTTGACCCAAATCTAATTAGCCTTTTCATCAGACCATATTCCATGTCTCACATAACCCAACCAAGTTTTACCATCAATGGAATTTCCATCTTAAGTTCATTCTCATGAATGTAGATTATTTGTCCAGTTAAAATCTGATGTTTTGTCTTGCTCTCACACAAATCTGCTTCAATTACTAGTTCTTATTTTATGCCCTGGTTTTATCCTCAACAAAGCTAAAAAATTAAAGATATTGTTTTTTATCACTGTATGTCAACTGGAATGCCTAGGTGAAAAGTTGACAGCCAGCCCGATGCTGTGGTAGGGAGCTTCTGGAAAAATGTAAAGCCGACCAATAGCTCACAGGAGAAAATACTAAGCCTGTCTTAAGGTGGACAGATATCTCCAGAGCACAGGGGACATAGGAAATAAACGTCACAAATTGTTTGCTCAGCCTAGGGTCCTTTTAGCAGTCAATGAAAGCCAAGGACCACGGTGTTGGCCTGTGGCCTGTCAGATCTTAGTGTCCAGCTCTAGAAGTGGACATACCAGGTCAGAATGCAGCCCTCAGGCCTGAGCCAGCCTGAGCATCACAAGCTAGCCCTGCAAAGACCACCATGGGAAGTGCAATGCACAGTGGCCTTGTGTCATCAAGGTGCCCCAGGATGAGGATGGTTGAGGGGTGGTGTCTTCTGTCCATGTTGCTGTTCCCAATAATTAAATGATCAGCAGAAGTGATAAAAATCCATTCACACTATACTGAACTTTGTTAACATTTCTCTTTAAATGTCCACTAGATGTTCAACACCAACTGGCACTTATTTAAAATGGATGATAGTAGGCTTTCAGAGACCCTGCTCACTCAATATAAAAAGGCTTCATTACATATTGTTAAACTCTTGAGCATCTCACTGATTTGTAAAACCATCTGTAAAAAATATACAGACATCACTTAAAGAGCTAGAGAAAAAAAAAACACCACACATGAGTGAGAAAAGACAGTTAAGGTTGGGTAAAAATTCCAATAAGATAAAAGGACTACTTCTCTTGAGTTGTTGGCCAGGGAAGGTCCTTGAGGCCCCTTACACTATGACATTATTGCTGATTGTGTTGGTGGATGCTAGACCTATATGGTATGTCTTTATTGTTGAAGGCATCACAGGCTTTAGCTCTCAGACATGGCAAATAAAGCTAGAACTAGACTGCTGGCTCTCTCCCTTTCAGTTGCCTTTTGCAGTGCTAGAGGCACCACACTGGCTTCTGGAGGACAATTGTCCCCACCAGTTTCACTCAGCGAAGGACCCCATATGCTCCATTACCAATATGCCAGGCAGGCTGTGTCCACTGCTGCAATGGTGGCACAAATGTTATGGGCAATTCACTTTCAGTTGAATTTGAGGTCCATTCCTCTGCAGGGACCTCAAATGGTACTATAAGCCAGAAGGAGGAGGTCAGAAGTTCCAGTGTTTCTGCTATTATTTTCTTAAATGAACATAAAGCAACCATCAAATTACCTTCCAAACACAGGAAGTGATTGTTGCTCTGGCATAGTGTCCCAATATGCGAAGGTGAAAATTTGACACACAGCCCAATGCTGGGCTGCTTTAGATGGAGAAAAACTATCAAACATCCATATCATTTGCTTCAAGATTCAGGGCCTGTTGGAAAAGAGGGTGCAGAAAGAATCTAAATATCAAAAGAAGTTATTTTTGTATGTCTTTCCTCTGCATTGAAACTTTCCCTCTTTGAAGGAAGAAGGAGGTTCCTTAAGGCTTAGAAAGCAAACAAAACGAACAAGTCTTAAGAAGTTCCTGACCGAGACTGCAACTGTTCTCTGAGACAGAGCCTGCCAGCACCTGACTGGACTGAGAGAGCCCACTAGTACCCGACTGGACTGAGTCCCAGTTTCAGGCGAGGTGTCAGGAAGACCTCCTGCAGACAAGTCAGACTACCACCATCTACCACACTAAGACTGCAGCTACTCCCTGAGACAGGGTCCACTAGCACCAATTGGACTAAGAGCTGCTCTCTGATACAAAGAGTCCATCAGCACCAACTAGACCAAGAGCTCTCACTGAATCAAGAGTATCAATCAGACCAAGAGAGGCTCCCTGAGACACAGATACTGCTTGCACCAAGTGGAGAAAGAGATGGGTAGACACCAGTGCAAAAATAGAGTCAACAACATAAAAACTAATATGTCTCCATCAGAAACTACATCAGCAAGACCTGAACATCCTAACACAGAAGAAACAGAAGATATGTACCATAAAAATGACTTTAAGAAGATATTAGCGATCTTAAAAGAAGAAATGAAAAATTCCCTTAAAGAAATCAAGGAAAAGTAAAAAAAAAAAAAAAAAAAAAAAAGGAAGAAATCAGTAAATCTCTTGAAAGCCAAGAGAAAGCAATTAAACAAATGAGGGAAACAGTTCAAGATTTGAAAGCTGAAAAGGAGACAATAAAGAAGACACAAACTGAGGTAATGCTGGAAGCAGAAAATCTGAGTAAATGATTAGGAACTACATATGCAAGTATAACCAACAGAATGCAAGAGATGGAAGAGTGGATCTCTGGCATTGAAGATACAGGAGAGGAAATAGATTTATCAGTCAAAGAAAACACTAAAGCCAACAAAGTCATGACCCAAAATGTCCAGGAAATGTGGGACACCATGAAAAGACAAAACTTAAGAATAATAGGGATAGAAGAAGAAGAATACCAATTCAAAGGCACAGAAAATATATTCAACAAAATCATAGAAGAAAACTTTCCCAACCCAAAGAAGGAAATGTCTATAAAGATACAAGAAGGTTACAGAACACCAAATAGACTGGATCAAAAAAAAATTCCCCTCGCCACATAATAATCAAACCACTAAACATACAGAATAAAGAAAAAATATTAAAAGCTGCGAGGGAAAAAGGACAAGTAACATATAAAGGCAGACCCATAAGAATAACACCTGATTTCTCAGTGGAGACTCTAAAAGCCAGAAGGTCATGGACAGACATTATGCAGACACTAAGAAACCATGGATGCCAACCCAGACTACTATACCCAGCAAAACTCTAAATCAATGTAGATGGAGTAAACAAAATATTCCACAATAAAACCAGATTTAAACAATATCTCTCCACAAATCCAGCCCTACAGAAAGCACTAGAAGGAAAAATCCAACCTAAGGAAGTTAGATACATCCATGAAACCACAGGCAATAGATAGTCCCATACCAACAAATACCAAAGAAGGGAAACATACAACACTACCACAAAAAAAATTAACAATAACTGGTCATTAATATCCATCAATATCAATGGTCTCAACTCACCTATAAAAAGATACAGGCTAACAGAATGGATATGAAAACAAGATCCAAGCCGGGCGGTGGTGGCGCACACCTTTAATTCCAGCACTTGGGAGGCAGAGTCAGGCAGATCTCTGAGAGTTCGAGGCCAGCCTGGTCTCCAAAGTGAGTTCCAGGAAAGGTACAAAGCTACACAGAGAAACCCTGTCTCGAAAAAGCAAAAAATGAAAAA